TTTAAATTTCATTCTGCTATTCTGTCCTTCGATTTCTTGAGACTATATTATGCATTCTAATGATATTCCAAAGTCAGACACAATGTGCAAAAATCAGGCTAAAGACGAACGTTCAATTAATGTCAAAGGTGAGGTTCAGCTTAGTGACCATAACATTCCGCAATGGCTAATCATATTTCTTGTGATTTTCGCGTTTCTCTTCGCGATAATTTTTAAGCACATCAACAGATTTAGAAAATTTTTACTGACTGTCCGCATTGAACAATTTCCACTAAGCATAGTGAAATCGTGGCACTGAAAGCCAGTCCTAACGTATACCTAATGGGTCATTCCACGCCTAGGTAGTCCGGGGGGTATTTTTTTCCCCCCTCCAAATGACCCAACAATATTTATTTTTGGACTCCTTAATACACCTAGTTTTTGGAAATATATGGGGTTTACATCCGTTTTGTTTTTTTTCTCGCAATTTTCACGTGCTTTGTAACCCCATTGGTTAGCTTCATCTTACTGTAAAAAGAGTGACAGTTTGGTAGCAATATTTTCTGGTGTTCCCGCCAAAACCAAGTTTCAGTTTGTGTTTGCAGTTGTCAAGAAACTGATTCAATGTGCTCCTGCAAAGTTTCAATTTTTAAAAGTAATTACTGTGTATTATATGTAACTTTTAAAACTTAGTGTACTGACTGTCACACCCGTTACGCAAAACATGGGTTTTTTAATGTAACTATTATAATTCATGTTATTTTGAGATGCTAATTTTTTCCGTACGTCTTCAAGTCAAGTACAGCTTTTGAGTATTTTTCCCAAATTTTTATTTCAACAATTGATAGGCAAAACTGCGTAACGGGTGTGACACGTTACGGGTGTGACCAATGAGAAGAGACTTCAATTATGCACATGTTGCTTCACTTCTCACCATTTTTTCTATGGTTATCACAAGAAATACACTCATATGCACAATTAGAGGTATGTATACATCTAATAAGAGAGAGATAGCCAACTTTTTTGCCATATTTCAGTATTTAAAGTGAATACACCTATCTCAAAAGGACTTCAAATAGAACTCGTTAAACTCTCTCGGATTGGATTGAAATATTTTCACTTTACTATAGGCCTAGACCTACCGTACCAGGATTTTTTTTGTGGTTAATTTGGATCATGCGAGGTCCAGGACCGCGGGGACGAAAGGGGAATCTTGGGCTACCCGAAGAAAAGCCCTGGGACGGTAGGTCTGGGCCACCCTGTAGAAAAATGTAGTTTTGGCATGTTCTACATTAAAATGCGTCAAATTGCTGATTGATTTACTGCTTAGGATTGCCTGCAATAAGAGTATGAGAAGAAAAGTGAGTTTTTTAACTTTTAAACTCTCTCAGAAATGATGGACCCCAGAGAGACAATCTGTCACACCCGTTACGTCACACCCGTAACGCAAACGATAGGTCTGGGCCACCTTGTAGAAAAATGTAGTTTTGGCATGTTCTACATTAAAATGCGTCAAATTGCTGATTGATTTACTGCTTAGGATTGCCTGCAATAAGAGTATGAGAAGAAAAGTAAGTTTTTTAACTTTTAAACTCTCTCAGAAATGATGGACCCCAGAGAGACAATCTGTCACACCCGTTACGCAAACTCTCCCATTTTTCAAGAAAAGAAAAAAAGATAATCGAAAACGGATCATCGGCAGATGAAGCAAAAACCCTTGGCTTCATCATATAGTTTAATCAGATTTTTAAATTCATAAAATTCGCTGAGTTTCCACTTTACACTCACTGAGGAAAAACTCACTTCCAAAATCGGTCACGCCCGTTACGCAGCCTTTTAATTTTTTCCTGAGGAATGGAACAAAGTAAAAACAATTTCTGATAAACTAAAATGATCTATAAAAAAAGTTCTTTCTGCCACTGCAGATAATTTTTTAATTAAACCCCAAGAAAGAGTTCAAATTCTTATTTAAAGTTAAATTGTTGTCACACCCGTTACAATGGAATGACCCTAATCACTCTCCGATTTTGTGGAAATAGTTGTATTAAGTTTTTCGATGAATTTTAGTAAAAACATTTCTAGCTTCTACCACTTTTCACTTGCATTCACTTCTGACAGAATTAAAAAAAATTCGGCCAACCTCTTAAACAATCCTTGGACCGACGAAATTTTTGTAACAGCAGTGCGTGTTCCTTTTTGTGCGATGACCACCATCCCTTAAGACACAGCAACCATCCTCACGACATTTCAACTTGCGTCGAATTTTTCGATCATATATTTCTTTTCAGGATTATAGATTAGATTAAGAGTAAACTTTTCTGAACGAATCCAAGTTTTCCTCGAAGTAGGAATTTAATTAGATGCAAATTTGGCAACGCCAAATGTACTTGCGGCGTTCTTCCTTACGACTGTTACATAGGTTCTATCGGATTTCAAACGGAACAACTCATGAAGATGCTTGCACCGCAGAATAATTAAACGCATTTAAATCAAAAGGAGCTGAATGCTTCCTGACATGAGCCTTGGGATTGGTAAGAATGCATGCGTGGCATGGCTCATGCCCGGATAGACTTAGTTCCTTCCGATTTAAATGCGTCCAATTGAGCCGCGGAACAAAAGGTGTGCGTTCCTCTGTGTTGGGCAGCACTGACAATAACGCTTATTCTCGTAAAAACTAATATTCCATTTGGTGAATCCTCGGTAAATATTCGCAACATTGCAAAAGTCGCCAACCCCACTTGTTACGCCATTTTGTCGTGCTAAGGAAGAACGCCGTATGAGCCTCCAGACGTTGCCAAATTTTCTTCAATAAAAATCGAATTTACAGGGAAAATTGTGAATATTTTTTCCAAAATTTTCAGAAAATTTTGCACGCAATGTAATCTAAAATACATGAAAATTTTAAAGTAAAATGTGCATGAATGTTGTCAAAAATACATGTTTTATCGGGGGGAAATTTGAAAACTCTCGAATGTTTATACGGTGTTCTTCCTTAGCCCGGCAGTATTGTTGTTGATGATCAACCGATTACTCGCTAACGTAATCTGTAATCTGCACCTTTGCGAGGGTTTCCCAGAAAACTGTTCAACGAGGTCATATGGAAGGTGTTCAATTAAGCGCGAATGGTAAAATCCGCCCATTAATCTGGGGAAATTCTGCTGCCACAGTCCCACCCCCTTCATCCGGCCACTTAAATAAGAGTTACACTCTGAACGTTTTTGTTTCTTTCCTTATTGCCTATTGGTCTCCCTCTTCACCTCGTCACCGAAGCGGGCACGTATGACAGCTTACGACGGAAATAAAAGTAACAATAAACATGATACAATAATACCTAGCTTAGCGGCTTTTTAAGCTTGGCACATCTCCAAGCCCCCCCCCCTCCCTATTTTACCTGGCATTAGATGGACAATCTCTTGCCACAGGAGAGGCCTGACGTTTGTTGATTGCAGATAATTTTAGATCAGTTCTCGATTTTTGATTTTCCGCGGTTTCTTTCAGTGGTGAAAAATTTTCGGCGGCTTTTTATAATAGTTTCTACTAAATTCAGATTATTTACAATCTCCTGATGCACCAATAATGATTTTGGCGGGTTGGTATAACTGTTATTTTTCCGTTTTAATTCATCACAAATATCGATTCTCGTGAAGCAACTTGTCTCATCTAGAATCGATTGGTGTAAATACATTTAAATGGAGGTAAAATAGTGATGCCATCTGACAAGAATCGTCGCTACGATTTACCAGTTTTACAATTTTTCGCTGAAATAGAAACGTTTCATTTCAAACAGCCACCATGCACTCTCCGTCCTTTGCACAGTAAATTCCATTGGGATTCGATGGGTAAATGCCAAGAATGCAGTATTCAAAATGTTTTAAAAATCTCAAATCATGTTTTAATTTCTTCAAGAAAATCTAATCAAATTTTTCCTTGCGACTTTGTGAGATTTGTTTTTTGAAATGAGTGAAAATAGAATACACAAAAAATTTCACGAGAAACTGTTGGTTGGTTTACATTTAAAAAATGATGCAAAAGGGTAGCCTTAGTACAACATCGCATTTTGAGATACGAATTTTTCTGCTGCAGCCATAGATACTGCCGTGGCTGGAGGTGACGGGAGGATTGGGAGGTTCCTCCTCTGAAAAGGAAGACCCAAAATAGCTATCATCCCACACTATCTTTCTTGACCTCCTCTCAAACTGCATTCGAAGCTCTGTCAGTCAAAAAGATGATTCTTGTTGGACAAAAGACATGAATATAGACCGTGCCTCGAGAGGCAATGATAGGGAGAGGTTGCAGTTCCATCGGTTGATTATTGCAATTTAATCAACGCCTATTTAAGTATGCCAATAATATCGAAACAAGACTTATTGCCACTAATAGCCACTAATTTAGCGATCCTGAAATTCAATAATACTAATCGGTAAACAAATCGCACAAAATTGGGATGGAATCGCGATGTCATAACGATAAAATAGCGATTTCAACGACAAGAAAGATGAAAAAAATAAAAATCTTGATTTCATTGCCATAGAATCGAGTGGAATCTCTCAAAAATTGACGGTTCTCCCTGAAAAAAAAATTCGGTCACGTGAACCGAGCGTTCGGTGCTCAATATCATCCCAAATATTCGGTTTGTCAAAATGAACTTTTGGTTTGTCAAACTGAACTTATTTCGGCTCGTCCAACCGAACGTTCAGCACATACACAGGACCAAACTTTGTTCCTCGGTTCACTTTACCGCACAAGTTCGGATACACGAAAACCGAAAGTTCACCATGACGAACCGAATTAGTTGGGATGATACAGTACACCGAATTTCAATACCTACGTGCGACTGAACTTTATTTTCCGGTGTACGATTCCTAAGACACGCCTAAAACCGCAAAAGATTGCAACTCTCCCGTTGAAAAATGCTACTCGGGGCTAGTCCTGACGGCCAGTCAACGCAGAGCCTTGCCTGTGGGAAGACTCGGCTCCTTCCCTCTATAGTATCGGATGAGTCGGAAGGTTTGGAAGCTTACCATTTCGGGAAAATCCTCGGTAAAGAAACACAATCACACACAGAAACACGGGCTAATGGCTCATGACGACCGCGGCACAGAAACACCGGAAAGCTCCGTCGGGGGAAACTCTTTTGGTAACACGAGAAACACGGGAAGCGGCGCGCGGACAAGATACACCGGCAGCGACGACGACTGAACTGAATGAACCGTGGCCGTGGCATCAGCACCGCCACCGCGAGGCCTCGGAATGCCGGCTTCCCTCCACCGCCGCGCCTCCGCACAGTGCATCCAGTCAATAGGAGAGCTTCGACAAAATTTCCAAACTTTCAACGCCTATAACTCCGTTTGTACACAACTTTGAGGCTCTAAAAGTGGTTCCATTGCCTGCCTCCTACAATTTTCTTCTTGAAATTTAAAATTTTAAATTTAAAACTTATGACGAAATAAACATCAAAATTGGCAGTTTTAGTCAAAAATGTCATGTACGACCTCTCGTATCGACTCGATCCATTGTGCGGGGGAGGGGGGGGGGGGGGGCAGGTGGACGCAGAAGCTGAGTGATTCAGAGATTCATTCTACTCGTTAGCTGAACTCGCTTATTTTGAGGGTTTGGATTTGCATTCGATCGACATGAATCGCTCCGAAAACCAAAATATGAATCGACCAACGTGATTCGACCGAAAAAAATCTGGTGACATGAATCGATCGAAAAACAAAAGGCGTGAACTGATCAACGTGATTCGATCGACACCGATTCCATCGATTCTCGGGTTTCCCGATCGATTGAAGGGTTTGTAGATCGATTTGCGGATTTGTCGATCGATTCACAGGCTTGTCTATCAATTCATGGGTTTCCATCTCATCATTATCGGTCGACTCGTGTCGATCTCTCACGGTTTTCTGTTTTATTTTATTTTTTTTTTGTTTTGTTTTGTTTTGTTTTGTTTTAGGTATGCAATGTAATCTTCATTGAAGACGTAGATAACTGCATAACAGAATAAAATGTAAACCGAAGTAATGAATTAGAATTCATCTATCATTATGCTACAATTATTTATAAATCATTTTATTATGAAAACAAATTTAACAATTTGGTCATAACAAGTAAAGTTACACTATAAAAATTATTTACAGCTACTACTTTTAGTTTAAAAAGTTATAAATATGAGTTTGGAGATTGAAAGTTTTTCTACATTAAAGTTTTAGGATATTACGTTAGTAAAGACTGTATAATTTAAATAAACTGCGTACACGAAAATAACTGGGAAGAAAGCGAAGGGTATAAAACCTAGTTTGATAGATAAGAGGAGGGATACAATTTTTTTTTTTTTACAAAAAAAAAAACCTGTTGATACAATCGAAAATAAAAATACGCTCACTATGGTTTCGACTTTTTTTCAATTATAAACTTACAATAGTTATGAAAGATACATAGAAATTTACAGACTGCCTCGGTCTTTTTTGTGTGTGTCTCGTGGAGATAAAAAATCTGCAAACAGATACAAAACTTTAACCGACAGTCACCAACCTCATAAAGGCTTCGTGTATCTCACAAGAGATAGTTCGGCCCGATATGAGGGTAGGTCGCTGCCAGTTAAAAGATGTTATGTAGGTTTAGCCAGAAAAATAATAAACAAATTTGAAAATGTTCTAAATTGTCGTTTTGATAATAAGACGATTGAAAAAATAATGAACAAAGTTCTTATTTGAGCAAAGCTCACTAAGTTTATCACTAAGTTTGAGATCAAAATAGCTATCGTCTATATCTAAAATTCAACGTGATCAGGGGAAAGCAAGGTAAAATTATCAGTATAAAAATATTTTCATAGGAAAATACTGGATTCTACCTGCAATCTCCAGTTCACCGCTATAGTCATCTGCCCCCCCCCCAGAAATTTTCCTCATAAGTTGGCCCTTGCCGTCTCAAAAGTAACTCCTGAGTTCACTTCTTTCCGTGCAATTTTCTATCATGCAAGCCTGATCTCCTTGTACCGCACTGTGCTTTTATTTTCTATTACACCTGTTTAACATGGTTCAACGTCTCTAAGATATACCTTTACCAGCAACCTATTCTATCATTTAAATGGCAAGATGTAACTATTATCTGTTGTTACTTAAACACCAAGGACGGGGATAAAGGACTGGAAATGTCATTATTGAAGATGGAGAAACTGTTGAAAGAAACCCAGAGTAAAACCATTATCTTGGGAGATTTCAACAGTAGATCCACTTGTTGGGGAGACATCGACACGAATGGAAAAGGCAAGATAGTGGAAGACTGGATGCTAAGTAACAACCTTTTCTGCGTAAACGACCCACATAATTTTACACCGACGTTTGTGGGACACAGAGGAAAATCCGTGATTGGCATTATCTTTACAACAGAGGACATTTACGGAAAAGTCTCGATGAACATTCTAGATAAAGAAAATCTCAGCGACCATAGAACGATGGTACTTACTTATAACAACAATGCTGGACAAGCCAATTTTATCTCAAAACCTGCGGGTTGGTTTGTAAATCCCAAAAATCACAGCGTCTTCAATCAAGAGGAACTATGGTCAAAAACTAAGAGATCGCAGAACGGCTTTTCTGTGGTTTATTGCCCTTTGCACGTACATGCTTTTCTCACAGGTGCATCGAAATGCAGCTTGGGTGAGAGAAATTTTCGGAAACACATGCTGGGAGCACAGACACTATACAAATTACCTACTACTAACGTCCGGATTTACCTACTTGCCGCCCATGGGCCGCTAGTATTTTGCCGCCTCCTTCTCATTCGTTTTGAAACATCAATGAAAACCATCAAATGAACGTTCCAGCGGGGGAGGGGTGCATAAGACGCGTTTACTGGTGTTGAACACATTTTTTGGGAAAGCCCTGTCAACACTACTAGCATAAGTTCACGGAACTTTGCGCGAAAGTTAAGTTTCGTAAACCTATCTCTGTGTGGACGAGGCCTTCCATTCATATGAAATGAACGAAAAAATTATGAAAGAACAAACATAAATGTGGATTAATGATTTTAACTTCCGCCGCGCGCCTCGCAGACCGCACTATGTTTGACGCAATGCGTGAGATATTCATGCATTCTTGTAGGCGCCATCCGTTTCACACTGTCCGCAATGCAATGACCGCACTCTTTTTGATGCATGCGTGAAGTATTCGTGCAGTCTTGTAGGCGCTAATATGTGTTACATGCCGATCGCCGCGCCGAGGGCTTCTCCTTTTCATCTAAAGTCCTCGTCATCATTTCTCTCCAGGCAAGTCGCGCCGTTCCAGGCCAAATTGCGTGTTTGGTTTCTCTCTCAACTCGACTAATTAAAGGTGCTGTCTCTTGTATCACTGAAAGACGACAAAAGTAGGAATTACTATACTCTCAGGTAATGAGAGATTTTGTCGGCTTTTCTCGTTTGTAATTTTCTTTTCTAAATCCGAATTTTTTTTAATACCTACATTTAAAAAAATTGCAAAATTTGCCGCCCCCTATAGATTTGCCGCCATAGGCCATGTGGCCACCCCCTTAATCCGGCCCTGAGCAAATTTAGAAACTGCTCTCATGAGTAAATTTTGATACAGAATTGGCTCATAACCACCAATTTTCTCAATTTTTCTCTCTAGCATCCCTCATTTACCAGAGGCTTCATGAAAATAATCATGCTATTGGATGAATGGTGAAAGAAGTGGATACATGGAGAATTAATACATCAACGTTTCAGCAGTGGCGATTCTTGAAAGTTGGCAACACTGTTTTTCCTCCACTTATATGTATGCAGAGCAATCAATTTAGGTGAGGTAGCTTGCCTAAATCGATATTTTAATGGATCTATTATAACTTTTAATACGAGCTATTATAACTTACAACTTTTTTCCGTCTCCTACAAAACGCCTTCAATGAAGCGTGATACGGCATCATATATATGAGCTCGATAATGTTATTGTGTCTGAAGATTTTTCCTAGAAATATGTTCGAATTCCAGGATCGACTGATAAGTAACTCCTACCCTCAAAATTTAGGAATCACTTCCTATTTTGCCAAGGTGAAAACATATTTCAAAAGAAGCCAATATTTAACGGTGAATCGGTTTGCAAACACAGTCGATTTTGGACGTCATGTATGTAGTATTCTTACACAATGCAGGAAAAATAAATTCAAATCTCCGGTGGTTGTTGTTGACTCGCGAGGCCAATTCTGTACGATCCAGTTACTACTTTACGACAAAATGGACAAATCATTGGCTTACTGTTTTTTTCGATTGATCTTAACCTGGTCTCTTCCTTGCATGTCGCACACAATTCATGGCCGCATGGTTCAAGCACGGTGTTTCTCTTGTGCTCTGAGCATAGAGTGCAAGCTGCAAAAAGACGAAGGTCCATTTAAAAAAAAGAGACGTCTAAAATGCCAGCTGCACAGATTTTATCTAGACGAAATTCAGCCGATTATTGCCAACTTCACACGCTGAAAATAGGAGCTGAAAATGGAGGTCATCAACGGAGATGATGTATGAATGAGATAATGTTGTCGCGAGATTCAGCGTTTGCGCAGTCCGTGCAATTTTTAGCAACTGATAATGAGTCCAGACTCAACGGCTATCAGTTTGTATGAACTGTTCCAAAAGTTGGAGGCAAAGGACCAACTAAGTTGAAATTTACAAAAATAACTGTTTAGCAACGACTACGCAATCTCCATTTCGGCTTCCATTTTCGACGTGTGAAGTGCGTTTATTGCAAAAATTAAACAATACTTTTTAAGTTGCACCCAAACGAGAAAATTGGAAACGTACAGTTTGAGGATCAAGTTAAGGGGGTTGGACGCTCGCAACAGTGATTGCTCGTCAACAATTTTAAAGTTTCTCTTTTTCCACGCAAATTGACTGTGTCCTTCAACAAATTGTCTAAAGTTACACTAGTGAGGTGCTACGATCATAAGTGCATGAATCAAACCTGCACTTTTTAAAAACTAAATAGCCATCGTACGTACAGTTTTATCGCCAAGATCTAGGAGATAAGCATTTTTCTTGAATTCTCCTTTACAACTTTAGTTTTATTGCTTTTAATCGTGCAAATCATGAGTATTTCGCATGTCCTTGAAATACTGCAAAATGTTGAAGTGAATATTTATCTTGGTGCTCATCGTCATTGGAACGAGCCCAAAATGATCTAAACATTTTTTAGAGAACTCTCGCCTCCGTATGAAATTCACTATTTCGTCAAAAATTAGTAAAGTGATCCAAATTTTAATCAAATTGAGAATTGTTAAATATTTGATTTCGCATTTAAAGTTCAGCAGCATTAATTATGCATCTTTGGCAGAAAGCACAGTGACATCGGCTTCGCGTATAGGGACCTTCCATACCTCTTTATCTCGGATAACATCATGCATGAGCGGAACTTCGACGCAACGAGTAAACGAAGCAAAGGCCAACAAGTACGTCGCGCCTTCAATTTTGTGTATATGTATCGTTGACATCCATCAAGTACGAATAGTTGCTCATGGCAGGCGTTGATATGAAAAATAGCCGCGTTACGAACGATGCACCGGCAGACTCAGAGGAGGTTCGTTAAACCAGGTTTCTTATTAGTTACTATACGGCTGGTTGAGGTTAGTTTTAGGCAAAAATAAGTTCGTTCAGGAATTTTTAATTCTGGTAGACGGTGTCTCTGCCGCAATCCATGGTACGTGCAGAGTGCAGAGGGGTATCAATTGGACTCATTTCTGTCAAACGGAACTATGTGCATTATGCCGTGTGCCCTGTTACGCATATATACTTATGGGTCTAAGGGCTAATGTCTTAATGCACATAGTTCCGTTGGACAGAAATACGTCCAATTCAACTGCATGGGTCATGCTGCCGTGTTAAAGAAAAAACGTCGTATGAGCCCTCAGATTCTGGCGTATTTCCTTCAATAAAAAACGGATTTACTGGGAATATTGGGGATATTTTCCCTCATTTTTAGGCAGAAATTTCCAGGGCAAATGTGCTTTACTTTCCTGAGAAATACATGTTTTCGTATCTCGAGGTTTTCGTTAACTTGAGGTAAATTTGGCAACTCTCGAATGTACTAACGCGGTGTTCTTCCTTAGCACAGCGGTGCACAGTAATATTTTTGGATGCCAACCTAGCTCATCCGGCGATGCGCGTTCAAATGCAAGCTCAAAATTCGAAACTTCGAAATCTTATTTAGGGAGGAATGTTCTTTCAAAACTCCGTGAAAATTCTTGCGAGCCTACAGTGGGCCTCTTGACAAGGTATGGATTAAAGCACTACGTGACATTTATTTTCTTCACAATTTTGCGTGGAAAATGAACAAGAGATTCGTTTGTGGAGTTTCATTGATGAACTTACCCTGCTTATCATTCTCATCGGATACAGGCGTATCGCCATTTCGCTTTGCCGCCGTGCATGTCTTCCCGTCGCACTTGAGGTGAGGACAGACCCTCTGTCTTGCTGAGTCAGCGCTCCTCAAGTTGGTGTTCTCATTGCTTATTCTTCCCTGCCAACTTTCGAGGGGCAATGATATTCCATTATAATTGGATGAGTTGCGGACCCATTGACGTCTTCGCCTTAACTGGCCTGTTCCAAAAATAAAAAAATAAAATAATCCATTGAGTCACTCTCCACACAGTGAGGGAAAGTAACCGCGACATTTTGTTTTTAAAAGGGGGGGGGATGGCAGTGGCGTAGCGTGCTTTGCAACGTATCGATTGATATGTCATTCAAACCTATGAAAAAAGATCGATTATATTATCAGGGCCCTCTCAACGAACACCATAATAATCGATTCTTTATTAAATTTTCAAAGGGATTAAATCGATAGTCGATTATCAGGCCCCGCCACTGGGAGGTAGAACACAAAGTAACGCAAACTTGCAATTTTTGCAATGCAACGATTAATAATTCTTCAACAGTAATCTTATTTTTAAATATGAACTATTTATATCTGCTGTATTGAGTATCCTTTGGTTTGGAAAACTTTGGTTATATAGCTCTGTCTTGAAACCATTTCAGTAAATTTTTAGGGGCATTTTTTTTACTTCCCTCTTTTCCCTCTTTTCCCTCTTTTCCCTCTTTTCCCACTTTTCCCTCTTTTCCCCTTTTCCCCCTTTTTCCCCCTTTCTCCCCTTTCCCCCCTTGTCCCCATTCCCCCTTTCCCCCTTCTCCCGCGACGCAACGATTATAACGAATTTGTTATTACCTCCCTCTTTTCCCTTTTTTTCCCCTTTCCCCCCTTTCCCCCTTCCCCCCTCCCACTATTCCCCTCTTTTTTGCCTACCCTCTGAATTCGCGGCTGCCTCCTAGAATTCTATACGTTGAAAACATGCTGTTGGTGAAACTGACCTGTTGATGGGTGGGTGAACATCTCCTCACTGACGATTCTCACCGGGGCCGACTCGTCGCCCAAGAGGCGGGCGACGAGACGCTCGAGGTAGTGCGGGGCCATCCCGGATGGCGTCCGTTCCACGGTCATTATCATGGACGGGGGTGGCGCCGCGAGGGGCGACGTGGGCTCCGGGTGAGGGAGGGGGCGGTTGCGGCCCCTCCCTGGCGACGACCATGGTGAAGGGGGTGGCGGGAGAAGGGACGGCATCCGCTCCATCGGGGTGGCTCCAGATCCCAATTGTGGCTCACGCCGTCGGATCAACGGTGGGGTTGGTGACGATAGTCCAGGATCTTCTCCGATTTCAACTGTCCGCAAACCTGATATAAAAGGGCGCAATCAACCACTAGACTGCCGTGCTAAGGAAAAACATTGTATGAAAATTTAAGATTTGCCAAATTTCCTTCAATAAAATGCTTATTTTTGAGCTCAATTATTAATATTTTTCCTTGAAATTTTCTGGAACTTTAGGTGAAATTTTTCTGAAAAATAGGAAGAAAAATATTCTTAAGATTACCAAGGGATTTTTGTTTTATCAAAGGAAATTTGGCAACGCCTGAAGGTTCATACGGCGTTTATCCTTAACGCAGCAGTAGACACGGCACGAATTTGAACATTCTGATACAATCATGTTTCTTGAGCAGAATTTCACGTAAAACACGATCCGCGCAAGGAATATAGGTGTAACCTCCTGACTGGGCCTAGAGTACCTATACAGGGAGAATACGCACTTGTCGGTAATTTTTAGGTCATGTTATGGAGCTTTTAGGGCCCAAAAGGGCAGCCAGCCTATGAATTTAAATTATCCGGAGTGGTTTATATAACAATTGTCATCACCCGTTGGCACGTATTTGCCTTAGTCTTCGCATAAATTTACCCATGTTTGTGGATGGAAGCTCATTCATAAACATTCTTGGCCGTATTGGTGTGATATTGGAAACTAAAGATTGGCGGTGACATTTTTTGGGTTAGAGGGTTGGCTGCCCTTTTTGGGCCTGGGAGCTCCATGTTCCGACATTTACGTACTCTAAAAAAACTGGACCGTGTTAAGCAGAAAGGAATCTTGTCACATTAGCTGGTGTCAAATTTAATTGGGTGATTCGATTTTTACATGAAAACGGTTGTGTAGATGTTTGCAAAAATTTCAGTGAATTTTCTGCACAGTATAAAGCAGCTTCTTTGAAATTGTCAAAGGAATCCGCACAAACGTGCTCTCGTAAAAATTTAAGTTTCTAAGTTAAATTTAGCAATCGAGAGATGTTCTCTGCGCTTTGTTTTGTTGAAAGTGTAACAAAGTGCTACAGCTGAGGCGCAGCACCGAGATTCAGGTTGCTAAACTTTCATACCGTAGAGACTGTCGCGGTAACGTTTTGATCGCGATTTGACTACCGTAAATTTTTGTTTTTTCATGAGCGGGAGGTTTGAATTTAAGCATCAAGAAACACTAAATATCTTGTTTAGGAATTGATTTCAGTAGTTTTCATTCGACAAATCGTGTTCTGCGTAAAATTTTTGTGAGGAAATATGTTTGAGAATGATTAAATTCGTACCTTGTCTACTGGTTCATTATTGATTGGTATACAAAATCTTGTTACAAAATCTCGTTTCGGTAGTTTAAGCCTAAATAATGTGAAAATAAGAAAATCTTTTCAAACCCCAAGGTTTCTCCGTCCAATATTTAAAGATACCGAAAAACACGGCGCATGACGGTGATCAAACACGCTCGTGTATACATATCTTGGTTTTTTTCACCTCAGTTTCATCTGTGTTTCATCCTGGATTTTTTAAGCGTCACTATCAAATTGAGCAGGGTTTTGGAGTCTCTGCTCAGCAGAACATTCCAAGAGGTCATCAGGCCGCTCTTCGAGGGTCGACACAGAGCAGAAGATCTGGCGCTGCAAAGTGCCTTCATTATTTTGCGTGTGCAACCCGACTACACGTGGAGCAGCAATAGTCGTATTACAACGCCTTGCTATCTTACACAAACGCAGCTTCGCATAATGCATTATTTACGAACAATGCGAATGAAATGCGATTAGGCATGGATTCAAAGTTTTTTCTCGACCGGTCGCTTAGGTTCCTTAACTTTAGCGCCTTTTCAACTTCCTCGGATCGAAATTCAAAAAATTTTCACACGCGTCAATATATTGTTGGGAAATAAACTCAAAATTCCCTGATCGAGACACTCATCCGATCTGAACCGTAAATGCGGTGTTCAATATCGGTCATATTACACTCGGTCCATACAACAACCGCACCCTCAGTTCGAGGAACCGTATTCTTGGTCCATGCAACCGAGCTCCTTCCATAGTTGTGTTTGTTTGAAACCTCGGTTGTATTAACCGAGAATACGGCTCCCAAAACTGAGAGAACGGTCATGTGAACTGAATGTTACGGCCGATATCCCATCCTTGCGGTTCATACCATCGAAATTTTTTCTCATCGTCCTGGAAAGTCACCCTAATTTCTCAGTTACGAGGTAGTGGGTCAGTTGCGCTGGGTACAGAATCGTGTTTTGATACTCGATTCTTATATGGACTAGCTAAAAAAAAATATAAGCTATGTCCAAACGTTCTGTATTAACCGAGATTTCGCGCTTTGAAAAATTCGGTTTGACGTCATGCACTGTGGGAGTGACACCTTTGGTTTCTTTCACCTCGCTTTCATCCAAGTTTTACGTTGAATAACCAGTGCAAAGGTGTATTTCTTTGATAGATGAAAGCAAGGCGGAAGAAACCAAGGGTGTCATTACCGCGGTGCGGATGACGTCATGAACCGAATTTTTCAAAGCGCGATACCTCGGTCAAAATTTAACGTAGAACGTCGCTGTTTGAACGGATCTTAATATATTCGCTAATCTACACGGATCAAGCATTAAAACACGATACTTGCGTAACAGACCCATTTAGGAAGTCACCCAATTGTTCAAAGGCCTATAGATACACACGGCAATTAATTGCCGCGAGTGAAAGACGAAAACCAATGGAGAGCCTTGAATTCGATCCATTGACGTCCATATATCGAAATCAAGGCTCTCCATTGGCTTTCGTCTTTCACTCTCGGTGATTAATCGCTGTGTGTATCTAGGCCTTTAAGTGCGTTCTGCGTGAGATTTTGCCGAGGGAACATATCTCACACAGGTCTATTTCCTACTCTGTCGTGTAGTTGAGACCCTC